TATCATGCCTTGTGAGTATCTGATTATTAAAATATAGTATTTTTATTTTTGCTCTCTCTGTAGCGTCACTTAAGATTGCTTAGTTTTATAGCAGAAATGTAAGTGGTAAAAACTTTAAATGATTTAACTTCTGCTTTTATGGAAACATCTTTTGTTTACAAAATAATATTGATTACTTTGTAGTTTCAGAATCTAAACACAATTCTCATTCTTACAACATTTGTAAAAAAAAAAAATAAAGGGTCATCATTAAAAGTAATTTCTGTAAAGAAATGAAGATCTGAATTTCAATGATCTATCCTCATAGAAATTCTATTTTGCGTGACTAGATTCCATCGATTCATTTTGATATTACATATAAATGAAAATACCAAATGTCTTCTGGTTTGTCAGTGAAAAAGTAGTTTGGTCTTAACAAATGGCCCAGTGATGTCTATTTGGAAGCTTCATGACATATTAAAGTAGTTGATGAGGTACAATTTGTTGTGGGGTCACATCTGATTGATGGTTTACTATCTACCATGGCCTCATTGGCCGTGGTATTCCCATAATAAATGCACATTGCTAGACAGTGGTAAATGTGCTCTATCTAAATCATTCGTTACTTATAACAAGTTTCAGTATATGGGAATCAAATGTTGTTTATAGTTGCCTTCAACAGGATTTATCATTTTGAAGCTTTTCCAACACTTCAAATAGCATAACTAAGATATAGATTTTTGAATAAGTGCTTTGAGCCCGTGGGTGGTGATGTGCCCAGAGTTCAGTAACAATGTATTAAGCAAGTCACATGGAAAGATAAAGATAAAATGTGATTTTGTAACATTTTTCCCTCTAAATATAAAGTTGTATATTTTTATATGAAGTCCTAGCTAAAATCATCCAATAATGGACAATTTAAAAATATTTATAATTCATGAAAATCACAGGAGGCACATTTCCAGTGATTAGGAATATGTTACTTTTTATATATAACTAGCTTATACTCTGAAATTGCCTTTGATCACAAGCTTCTACTTTTTATATCTAACCTCCCTTCACTTCTACTAAAGATAACCTTGATCCATTTTACTTTCTTTCTTGATAGCGTTCACTCCATCTGGCTCTTAATTCCTTTATAGCTTTGGATTCCTCACTGCTTGATTTTAACCCATGATTTGAGATTCTCAGCCCACGGTCATTGTTTAATGATATCGAAGCATCTCTGCAGCCTACATGAAAGTCCCTCTGAAGTATCAATTTAAGAAAAACCTTCATGTTCATTATTTTTATTGTCTTTAAATAGTAACCAGGGTGGCTCCAGGGAGCAGTAATAAGTGCTTTACTTAGGAAGCTGGATCCTACATGGCCGGTTGTGATTTGAGTCCCTCTGTGGTGGCTTACGGAAAGCTGATTGGGTGTGCATATCTGCCTAAAATGCTGGCAGGAGGAAGAGATGAGGGGGAAGGATTGCAATGTGGTCATTCTCCATTAGGGGGTGCTTTCTCTTTCTCTCTCTGATAGGTGCAGGCACCCTCTTAGCAATGGAAAGAATTAAATAAATAACTGCTGTTTAAACTAATAGATTATTCATTATCATTAATATATTACCTGGACTGAGAAAACATTTGAGACTATCTTAATTACTGCAAAAACAAAAATAGATTTTATATTTTCAATCAATATCTAATGTAAATGACAAGGTTGGAATCATTTCTGTGTTCATTTATGAATGAAAATATGTTGACGCTTTTTCTCGTGTCAAAATTCACATGAAAAGCTCAAGGTTTCACCCAGAAAAAGAACCTGTGATAATAATGTGTAATGCCAATTTGCTTTATATGTTCTAGAAAGTGTGTATCTAAAGAGAGGTGTTTTCTGGATTAAATTTTGGGCCATTTTATATCTGTTCATTTATTTTAAGTAACATTTTTAAAAAGAAATCAGTAAAATAACTCTAAAATTTTTATTTAATAAGATAAAATCTGGAGGCCAGTGGGCGGTATGGTGGTTAAGTTGTTGCATCCCATATAGCCAATTTTATGGTTTGAGCCCTAGGCCTGGCAGCTTGAAAACATATTTGGTGCATGTGTGTGTGTGCCCAAAATCCTGAAGAAGAATGGAGGAGAGGGATTTGTGGTGTAGCTATTACCCACAGCGGGATGATTTCTCGCTTTTCCTGTCTCTGTTTCTCTCTCTGACCCTGTCCAGCAAGTACTCGTACCTATGGCAGAAATCTAAATAATAATAATAATAATAAAATCTATGGGGGGATTATCAACAATTTCAGGTGTGCTTGTTCTTTTATATTTTCAAGTACTATATTCAATTTAGCATTGTAATTTTTCTCTGAAATCTATCTCTTCCATGTAATTTAAGAAATATATTTCCATTCTTTTTTTTGTTCATTGCATTTCTTGATAGGTACATACTGTTTACATGTGTCTGAAACTGCTTCACATTAATCTGAACTTCAAATGTAAACTGAGGGGGAGATCTTTTCCCCTCTAGCCAAAGAGAATAATTTAGTACTTTCCACTTCATTGTGCCCACATAAAAATAGATTTTTTTTTCCTTTGGAAATATATTTAGTGCACTTCAGATGATTTGTTTGTAATGAACACAGTGAAAGTATACAATGTGAGTTATGAAATAGAACATTATGAGCAGAGTAGAGAACTGTTTGTTTTTTGTTATATAACATATCAGTTTTCCTGCTTTGATGTGCATTCAAATCATTTGGACAGTTCATTAAAACAGAGTGCTGGATCCCACCCCCAGAGTTCCTGAGTCAGGAGAACAGAGGTGAGACCCAAGTGTCTGTTTTGTAAACAAGTTTGCAGATGTTGCTGATGCTACCAGTCCTGGAAACAGTTTTTGAGAATTCTCGAGATACTGGAGTTAATCCTGGGAGTCAGAAGAGTCTTAAAATTGTGAAAGTACTGGGTCAACCCAGTACAACTGTTGTGGTGGTTAAGGCAGCTTAATCCCAGGACCGGTAGTTAGCGTAATGGCTATTGTCGCTGGACTCCCATGTAGGCAACTGCAATTCGAGTCCCAGACCTGGTGGCTTAAACTCACGCCGGACACGTGTGCATGCATGCCCAAGACCCCAAGAGGAGAATGGAGGAGAAGGGATTGGGGCATGGCCATCCCCTCTGGAGGGGGGGGGGTGATTTCTCGCTTTCTGTTTCTCTGTCTCTCTCTGTCTTTCTGGCGAGAGCACACACCCTATAGCAAAAATCTCTCCCTCAAAAAAAAAGAAAAAGGCAGCTTAATCCCTCATGTCTGACTGTGCAGTCTAGTCCTGGACCCAACAGTTTGAGATACATGGACTGGGGGTGCATGAGTGCCAAAAATTCTAAAAGGCGGAGAAATGGAGGAGGAGGGATTGCAGCATAGTCATCACTCCTGGTGGGAATTTCCTCACTTTCCCTGTCACTTTGTCTTGCTCCAGTGAGTGCATGTGACTTCTAGCAAAATGGGAGTTTAAAAAGAAAAAAAAAAAGTCATGCTGTTACTACGTGACAACTGTGTGGCCTTGGCTAGGTGATATAACCTCTCTGGAAGCACTTTTAAAAGTTTTTGAAAAGCGAATCATGCAACTTGCCTGAGAAAGTGGTTGTTATCATTGAGATAATGTAAGTACAATGCCAGTGACAGTGACTGGCACATATTAGCTACGTAATCAGTGGTTCTTAACTCTTTTACCCTTTTGCAGTTGTTCTGGGGAAACCATGATTCTCAAACCAAGTATATAAGAAGAAAAAAATATTGGATCCTTTGTGAAACTCTCAGCAAATAAAAAAAAAATGTCTTTTGATGTATTCAGTAAGCATCTTGACTATCTAACACATGGCAAATATTCTAGTTATTAGGACTATGTGTTTTTGCCTGTTTGTTTATTTGTGTTTTTGTTTTGTAATTTCCTATAGGGTGATTATACTCATCAGACAGAGATAGAGGAGGAAAATGAGAATGCAGTCCCCAGGGTTATGGCCATGCTGCAATCCCTTCTCCTCCATTCTCCTCTGGAATTTTGACCTCATACACACACATGCCTGGCCTGTTTTCTAAGCAGTTGGGTCTAGGACTCAAACCACACAGTCAGCCATGTAGAATCCAGCTGCTTTAACCACTGTTACCAGCTGACCCAGGGATATTTTCAAAAGACCTGGCCACTATCTTGATTGGAAAGATTAATTCTGTAATTCCTCTACACTAACCACTCAATCTAAAGAAGTCTAGTCCCATCTCCAAATCTTCATTATTATCACTATTTAATTTAAAAACACTATTTTACAGGATTAGGAGATGACATAATGTTTATGTTGCCATTAATGACTCCCACATGACTGACCATGGTTTGAATCCTAAATTTGGAGGCTTGAATTTCATGGGTGCTTGAGTGTGCCTGCCCAAGATCCTGAGAGGAGAATGGAGAGAAGGAATTGCAGTGTGGCTGTCTCTCCGGGGGATGATTTCTGGCTTACTATCTCTCTCTCTGTCTCTTTATTGAGTGCATACATCAATAGCAAATATCTCTCAAAAAATTTTTAAAAACCAGTTACTTTATTTACCTCATTTACTCATCTTGTTTTCTCTTTAGTATATCTATCAAAGAAAAAAAAAAAAAAAAAAACCTTTTCCCTCTTATTTATCATTAAGCATCATCCCTTCTAAAGAATTTGAATGCAGAAGATGGTCAATAAGTTGGTATAAGGGAGGTCTTCAAAAAGTTTACTGAAAATGCTTATTATTTTAAAAATGCATGGATTCACTTTTTTTTTTCACCAAAATGAACTTATACTTTTTATTTTTCACAAACTTTTGAAGTCCTCCATATTTATTAAACAAATGAATGATTCTAAGCCTGCTTAAGGAAATCTGCTTAAATTTCACAAGGGGGTAAACACTTGAACCAGGCAGGCAAGGGGAGCTAAGATCTCAAGCTGAGAAAGACACTAATTGTTGGGGCACAGAAAGGACAATGTAATGCCTCTGTTTAATGATCAGTAAACATCCTAACCTGGCAGGGGAGGCACCATGATCACATACGTGGTTTCCCCAGAGCCAGGTCCACCCATCGCACTGCGGCTGTGCTGATCTCTGCGAGCTCCCCAAATGCGGGAGACTCAACTGCATAATATGTGATAGTGGGGGACTGCATTTACACTTTTGCACTAAGAAATTTAAAAAAAAAAGAAAGAAAAAGTATTTAGTGATCTGTAAACAGCTTAAATATTTTGAGAGACAGAAGGGAATTGGGAACAAGAGTAATGTAGGCATTATAAGAAAAATGTATTAACCTATCTCCAGTGGAGATCAATTGATCAACTTTCACCAATAAATGAAAATGATCCATAGATCAGAATATTTTCCTACCTGTGAGATTTCTCTGAACTAATCTGGATGTTCAAATACAGAAAATAGAAAACTCACAATGAAGATAAAGAAGTTTACTTGATAATCCCTTTGATATATTAGAAAAATTAATGACATAATAAATATAAAAACTTCTTGGAAAAAGTCACAATTAATTTTAAATGTTAGTTTTTCTCATTATGAACATCATTTATGCTGATTTATTGGGTCTTATTTAGAAAATTTAATCTATATTTTTAACAAAAAATATTGCTGATATTTTGGAAATTGTTATTATTGGATATTGAGATCATACTATGAAATTAATTTTATATCCTATAGTTTCACTTAAATTACAAAAAAGTATTACCATCATAGAAGACATAACTTGTAGTGATTGCATATTACTCCATTGTATAGCAATAATGCAACTTACTTAAATAATTTTCTCTTAAATATTTAGGTTGAATATCTTATAAATATAGGTTATGTTCTTGGAGGTAGCAGGTGTGTGGTGGTTAAGGTGCTGGGTTCCCACATAGATGACCACAGTTTGAGCCCTGGATACAGAGGCTTAAAACAATGTTGGGCACATATGTGTCATGCCCCAAATCCCAAGAGCAGAATGGAGGAAAAGGTATTGGAGCATGACCGACCCCCTGTAGGGTTATTTCTCACTTTCCCTCTCCTTCTCTCTGTCTCTCTAGCAAGTGTATGTGCCTGCTCGCAATTCTTCCCTCCCCTCACCAAAAGAATTAAACAAAAATAAACAAAGTTAACACAGGCAGACATTTTACTTCCTGTGGGATGCTAATTTATGGGATAAAAGTAGATCTTTTATTTTTAAATGTCTGTCAGGGATATTAGCCTCTGAAGCTCTGAAAACATGGTCAATACTGATTATCTTCCTTAACCGAAGATCTCTTGGCCCACCACAAATGCTCAGTAGAAGTTCAAGTGACAAAGATAAAAACATTTCTGTAGGACCAGCAGGTGGTGTAGTGGTTAAGGTCCCTGGACTCCCAGAGTGCAGTTTGAGTTCTGGACCTGGAAGCTTCCTTTCTTATTTTCTCTCTTCTTTCACTCTGTCTTTCTCTGGTCAAATTTAAAAACATAAAAATAAATAAATGAAGTAAGTAAATAAGTTAAATACTTAAAAAAAAATTTCTGAATATCGTAGCAAACATTTAAAAACTCTTTTCTAATGTGGCCCTATACAAAGACTTTGGGGATCATTTTGAACTCTTAGAAGGCTCTGTAGAAGAGTTTAAAATAGACCAGCTCAAGATAAAGCTGAGATTTAATAAATAAGAACAATTAATGTTTTGCTTAAGTGTTTAGAGAAAATTTACCTTTGATATTAAAAAAGATTTTTCCATCTTATTTGGTTAAGACAGTCTTGGTCATCACAAGATTACATCTGTTCTGTGATGTTTCCTCTAAATTAGGAAATGTCTCAAAACACACTGCCTGCATAGTCATCATCATGTTAATTGCAACTTGAAAGAAGAGAGTGGGGTCAGAAAAGAAAAAAAAAAAAAGAACAAGAGCTATCAATAAAGAATGTCATGTCAAGGATGGAGGCACAGAAGAAAATCCAATCCTTACTTCTTAATAAACAATGATAGCTTGAGTTGTTTTAATATCATTGCTTGAAATATGTACACAGCAATAAATAAATTAGGATTGAAGTGGCTAAATTTACCATACTACTACAGTGTTGTCATGTATTGTTCAAACACCCAAAGTAAAAAATTAATAAGATGTTAAACTTCAAAGGACTCAACCCTAGGAGATTTATGTTGGATTTATTACTAAAACCTCAGTGGTAAAACTAGGAACAGTACTTTCATTTCAGCCAGAGGTTGAATGTGCTGTTCTGTGATTATATGTTCTGCTTTTTCCTTTCCATACTGTGATGATGGTTACAATTCATCCCACAGCACCTCGAGAGGGAGTTATGACAAGGGAAACAGGAAACCTAATAGTTTTTTGGAGATTTTTTGAGACTTTAAGCACACTGTTGTAGTGAATTTAGGTCTCTCCTCAGCCCTTTACTAAACTTCAATGCACCCACTTCATCAAATGGAGTGTGAATTCCTTTCTCTTTCTTTCTCAGATGCTTCAGTGAAGCTGGTAGTTATATCTCCTAAATACCTCTCCATACCCCTGCAGTAAGCTTTTTAGAGTTTTAACTCTATAAGTTCCTTCTCTTACTTTCTTGTTCATTTAAATGCTCACATTTATTTTGATTAGTCCCCAAGCAATTTGATACTAAAAATAGATTTCTGATTAATGCATATAGCAAAGTTTGTTCCACCAAACTAGAGCCACTGTACCTTGTTAAAATATGATAGGATGAGAAAAAAAATTAAGAAACTCACTTAGAAAAATCTTTAGAGAAACTGATCATGATAAAGCTTTTGATTTTTTTTAAATGGAATATTTTAAAGATGGATGCATTGGTGACTATTATCTGGATATCTGTTGAAGTTTTATGAATCTAATTTTACAAATGAACGTTTAAAGGCTAATTTTGCATTTTATTGTTAAACATTTCATTGTCAGTAACATATTTTTAAAAACTTTCAAGCCTTCTATTTAGGACATTTCGAATGTCTATTAATCTCATGTAAACGTTACATTTCAATTGCCCCTCTTAAGTTTTTTTTTTTTTTTTTTTTGGTGGTTTTTATAACACAACAGCTCTATGTCCAATGTAGCATTTTTAGTAATAAAAGAGAAGAGTATTACCGAGTCGGATTGATGGAACTTTTGCAGCAAGGCTACTTAGGCAACAGATGACATGCTAATATTCCAAATGTTTAGAAAGCGGATTTCCCTTTTACCCGCAAAATATGTTCAGATTAGAAAACACATACTTCAATGAGATATTGGCAATAAGATATGTTACAATATGTTCTCAGATATGTCACCCATTTTATCAGTAGCATGTGAGATTACACTGTCAGAGGAGATTGACCTGAGAATTCATCTTTCATTTTGAAGAATTTTTAACTTGGGCAAGACACCTACTTTTTGTGTGTAGATTTCTTCATCCATATATCATGCATGTAAAGTCTCTTCATCATGGTTATTCTACTTAGCAAATTGTAGTCTGCATTATTATTTTTTAAGTTTATTTATTCCTTCCATGAGAAAGAGAGAGAAAGATAGATATACAAAGACAAAGACAAAAGAAACCTGTAATGTGGTCTTCATGTCTTGATCCACCTCTGACTCAGCCCAGATCATGGACATGCACATACATTCCCAGTGTGCTCTAGGAGCTCCCAGGATGTGGACCCAGGGCATTGCCCATGTGGCCCACTTGCATTGCTGCTATGTCACCACCTATCACTCATTATTGTTATTTTACGTTAAATTCCAAAGCACTTCTAAACATAAAGAGTATATAAAGCACATTATGTTCAATAACACTTTTTTTTCTTTAATTTGGTAGGTGGCCTGTATGCTCACAGGGGAGAGAGAGAGAGAGAGAAAGAGAGAGAGAGAGAGAGAAAGAGAGAGAGAGAACATACTTCTCACATGGCTGTCAGGCCACAATCTCTTCTCCTTCATTCTCCCTCCTTACTGGATTTTGGGCATGCAAGCACACATGCCTGGTGTGCTTCTCAAGCCACCACGCCCAGGACTTCAATGGGACAATCACCCATGTGGGATCCTTAAACAGCAGGTCATGGGCTGGCTGTGATACCACTTGTAACATGAGTCAGATTTGGGCTCATCTCTTTTTTTGTGCATATGTTGTTATTAATAATAATCTTATCTTCTCATATTATCAAGATTATTAATTCATAAGTAGTCCAAAATGTTAAATGTTTGTATTTGTTTTTATGTATATATGTGTGTGTGTGTGTGTGTGTGTATATATATATATATACATATGTATATATATGTTACTGTATATATGTACACTTCTTCATTAAAAGTATTACCTACTATGTATGATCTTAGAGAAAGTTGATATAAAGTTATTATTCACCCTTATTATAAGCATTTGTTATTTAATTCCGGTGAAGTTCTCTACAAACTCTATTGTATAAACTACTAGCTGCAAATTCTAACAAGATTAATCCGATTGCAAAAAAAAAAAAAAGAAAGACAAAAGAAAGACAAGAACAAAACTAGGTAATTACAGAGTAAAAGCCAGTTACTTACACAATAACAGACTGTGATTTTATTAGTAGGGTGTGGACACTTGATGAAAAATACAAAGTGAGTCATAGGCAATTGCATATCATTCTAATAAGAAGGTCCATGCAGACAAGCTGTCCCTTTGCTCTCTCAGCCTTCAGTCAAGAAGATTTCATTCATCTCTCAAGTTGCCTTAACCTTGTGGGATGGAATAATACCCAAACATTTCATTTCTATGACCACGTCCAAGAAAGCTTGTTTGTCTTGGGCATAAAATCTTGTCAATCATGGATGTCAGCCTATCACTCTAACTGATTTATTTCTAACCAGAATAATATGAGTATAAAAATATATGTAATGTGAAGTTTAAATCACCGAAGCCCTGAATCGATTTATATTGCTTTATAGTATATGTAATTTAGTGCTAATGGAATATCTCAACATTGTATAAGCATTTAACTTTTGGAAAAATCACATCCAAGGTCACAAAGCATATTATGATTTTAAAATATATAGCTTCCCATTTTGGGAAGGACATTGGTTTAATGGTTAGGAGAGCCAGGTAACTTGTCACTCACTAAAACCCATTCTTATTTAGCCAATGGATAAAAAAGTGTCAATATTTCAAGTAAAATACAGTTTTTAGTTTATTTCTAAAAAG